TTCAATTTTTTTTAATACATATATAAAGCTTTAAATACTACTAGTAAATCTGATTTTGTTATGATCAATCCAAGTTTTGGAAGTTTTTTTTTGCTTGTTCGAAATCTTAAATGCTATTTACTATTTTTCATATAGGTTTAAATTTCGATTCAATGCTTCAAACCCATTTTTTTTGTTTGGAATGATTATTTATATAAACATGAAAACATAGTAATAACAATAATAATATGGTTTTCTTAAATTTTCAGATTTGGATTTACTATCTTTAGTACTCGATTCCTCAATAATAGTTCCTTCTCTATTATAATATTCGATTCTTAGTTCTCTATTGTGCTGTTTACTTTCATAGTTGTTTTTTTTTCGAGTTCATAGCTATAGGTGGGATTTGTGAATAACCACAATTAAAAAAGAATATTCAATTTAAAAAGACAAATATTATGGTATATAAATTCGTAAATGAAATATTAATCACATGAAGTTTGTGAATAGTATTGTGAATGATTTAATCTATTTGATAAATTCTTGTTATCTGGTATGATGTGACAAATACATGAGTATTCGGCAGGATGATAGCAAAAGCACATGGCCAAAGGCCACATACGTTGCTATTATTCTGTTGAATACCCATGTATCTATCAGTTTTACTACAAAATCTCAAAAGCCATTTTCCCAAAAGAACATAATACTGACTAAATTAACTAGAATTATAAATAATGCTGGCTAACTTTGTTGGTTTTAAGTTCTTTCGGGAATCTGTCTTTCAAGATTTTGTGATAAACCCGTATCTATTACATCACGCCAGATAACTAGTTTATTTGTCAGATATGACATATACACTGACAGAACTATATTATTGCCCAAATAAACTTTTTTAATTAAAAAATAATAGGAACTGATAATTCGAATAAATATATATAAATGATAAAATGAGTGATTTTGTTTTGATTTTTTAATTAATTAATTAATAAATAATAAGAACTGATAATTCGAATAATGAATATATATAAATGATAGAATAAATGATTGTGTTTTGATTTAACTCTTGCTTTAATATTTCAATATCACATAATACATTACCAACAGACGAAGATGTTTCAAAGCTTCTTAAACTTTCGCGAATACATAATATAGATAAATGTATGGCAAAGTGGTTATGAGCAGTTGACAGATATAGAGAAGTATTGAATTACAAAAAATTATTTGAAAGCATACCCGAAGTCATTGAGCTTGAAAGCTTTCTTTGCAAGGAATATAAAGCTGAAGACAGCAGAAAAATATGTACTTGGTAATGGGCCAGAACAATATTAAGAGTATTCAGGTATGGATTATTCTAGTTATTAATTTATCGCTAATAATATATTTTAATTATATTATAATTTTTATAGATTCGAGTAATTCGGCATCTACCCCAACTTCAATAAGGTCTAATTATGATAAGAAATCCACTTTCAGGTCCTGTATTTCAAGATTATCAGGTCAATGACCACCTTTAAAGTCTATTTCTAATCAATTGGCACCATATTTTATACCAAGTTTTCATGATATTAAGCAACTTTATGAATCTTCATCTGAATATAATAATAATAAGGAAATACACTATCATTTCCACTACCATTTTTTAATAAATTGAGTGTAATTATTTAGAACTTGTTGCAATAATTAAATAAATTCTAATAAGTTGAAAAATATAAAAAAAACTTCGATTATTTCTACAAAGATCTTGTAACTTCATAACTTTATTATTCTTGTGCGCAGATTGAAATTTAAAAAGCGATTCGTAACTGATTTTGGTGGTGATACTAGATGCGTTAGTAGACTCCCATAACAGAGTTTAAATTTTCTCTGAGAAATGTTTTAATTGATAATTCTCCAGTCAACTAGTGCATAATCTTAGTAAAATGTGACTCAGATTACTATATAAATTTACTATAGTGCGAATGTGGCATTTGCTCAAGATAAACTTTTTTCATACTAAATTAATCATCTTTCTTGCTTAAGAGACTTTGTAAAGCTTATCAAGACGCATCTAATAGTGGTTAGAGTGTCAAAATCAGCCTGATGAATACTGAGATATCTTTAAAAAACCTCTCTTTTACTATGTAAATTTTTTTGCAAACAATACTACTACAATACTATTGTTTGCAAAGAAATTTACATAGCAAAAGAGAGATTTTTTAAAGATATCTCAGTACTTACCAGGTTGATTTTGACGCTCTGACCACCATTAGATGCGTTTTGACAAGCTTTACAAAAGTCTCTTAAGCAAGAAAGATGATTAACTTAGTATGAAAAAAAATTTACCTTGGGCGAACACCACATTCGCACCATAGTAAATTTATATAGTAATCTGAGTCATATTTTACTAAGATCACGCACCAGTTGACTGGAGAATCATCAATTAAGTTTAAAATTATAAGTTTATAATTTTCCTTAATTTTGGGAAAATCCATGTCTGAAAATTATACACATGACTTATCACATGATTATGTCATAAGTTCGTCCCAGAAATTTATTAACGTTAACGGATTTTCTCTTAGACAGTAAACTGTATGCTAACCTATCCTGTAGAACTAAATAAAAATACAACTAGGCTGTCATTCACTAATTATTCACTTTATTTTTTCCCGAAACTGGTATAATATAAAAAAAAAACTTATCAGTTATAAGTTCTAATAATTAAATTCAAGCGCTAATGCTAACACTAAATTGTTAATGTTAAACAGTGTATTTAGGTATTCATATTTAGGCTTTATGGCCAATCGGCTATTGTTCAATTCCCAGTTGTCGTTACATATTTAGGATAATGTAATACAAGCATTACAGCTCACATAATGGTAATATTCGAACCGCTTTGAGAATTGTTATCTTTATGACATAGTATATAATTTGTATTATATAGCCTGAAGTTTAGAATAGTAATATCGATTACGTGTATTTTACTAACGTTGAGATTGTTACGCCAGTTAATGAACTTGAAAGAAATTTATCAATGCGGCTAATCATATTATCAAAAAAAGATAAAAAAGTTTAAAGTATATTTTGGCGAAGCGATACGTACTCAAAATTCATAATTCCTAAAATTAAGTTTTATAAATAACTAACCGGTTTATTACTTATATTTCTATTAAAATTGTTTTAGCCTTTTTTTACAATAAAGAATGTGTATTTGGAGGTAAAACAACTAATTATGGTTATTTCAGCGAGCTTTATAATTGGTCAAAATAATGGTTATATTGAAAGAAAAAGCATTTATTAATCAGGAAAACCATAAATAAAATTCTGTTGCTTACAGAGTAAACAGCATATGTAAATAAAATAATAGCTTGTGAAAAACGTAAGACTAATAAAAAATATGTATTTTATATAAAATTTGCATAAGAAAATCTAAATACCAATATATGAATAATGAATTTTTTTTATTAATATATTACTCACCATAAGATCGACTTTCTAAGTCACTTATATATAATATATATATGTATAAAAATGGTATTACCTGATTTAGGTTTGGGAGATGCAAAAGTCGACTTGTGTAAATAGCTCGTAGATCTGTCCGATAGTTGAGTCGTGCTGAACTTGATAATAGAAGAATTTTTGGCAGAGTCTTAATATTGTTTATATAATTCAGATTTTTCTTTATTCGAATCGTAATAAAATGATCCAGAGTATTAGCTAATTATTTAGCAGTTGGTCGGTTTTAAAGTTTTGTATTTAAGCATCTATTCATCAGATCCAAAAGTACTTTAGGAACTTAAATGCACACACGGATTCTGGCCCAAATGTATACATGACCTTTATAAATATACTTTTTCTTATTGTTCTCTAAGTGCACGTCGTTAAATTCTGGTCCCGAGTGTGTGCACTTAAAGAGGTTTCGCTGTATATTTATATCTTGGATTATCAAATATTTGACGCGATGAGAAACAACGGTTTAATTACTCTTATTCTGCAGTAGTCATTATTATGATCTCTTTTCAAGCAGAAAATAGTTTATCTTGACAAAAAAGTTCATAAATGCAACGTGTTCTCTTTATGTAAAATCAATTCATTAATGCATTTAGTAAAGTTCGCCCAAACAAAAAGGGCTGTTGCATAAAAAAATTACGTAACACAATTGTATTGTCTGATTTATAATTTAGGTACTTTGATTATAGGTCGAAAACTTAAACAATCGATTAATGAAGTTGTTAATTTTCTTATTCTGGGGAACGGATTTTCAAGTAGGAAAATCCCATTATCTTGACATACGCATTTCTTTTGCCGATCACGGTTAACAATATACCTTTACGAATTTCTTCACGTCAGGTTGTTGAAGATTAAGGAGTATTTTAGATCTAAGAGCTATAGTTGAAAAATTATCAGGATGCCGGTGTATTCTCCAAGAATTATTAAGTGCTCCAGAAAAAAAAGCGTATATGTATCTTTAAATCTATATGTAATTTATTCTGGGCATATTAGTTTTAATTGAGAATTTTAAAAATCTACAATTAGTATATGTCACGTGATTTTAATAATAACCTACGGCAATAATATGGAATTTTTTCCGTCAGTGTATACATAGTACCTGACGGATAATTTTATGTACTGTAAAGTATATACATTGTTTGTTATGTATGTACATTGTATTCTATTCTATGTGCCAACACCCATTATTACGAATCATTTCATTGTAATAGTTGTAGTTAACATACAGTATAATTCAACTATGTTAATGAACTAAAGAGACCAAAGCGGGAGTAACTACAGCGAAATAATTCACATGTAGAAAGACCACCAAGATTATTAACAAGTAAAACAATCGAATTTTTCTCCGGATGAATATCTAAATAAGATCTTTCAGAGACTAAAACAAAGATGAAAGACGATTATATCATTATATCGCATATAACCTTAGTTAAATTTCCGACTTATTATTATTATCGCCCTGCGGTGAATATTAAATATTAGTTATTGTATCTAAAATGAACTTAAACAAAACGTGTTACAGAAATTGAAACATACTAAAAAGTAATATCGTGAATTTCCACTACGGATTCGCCATTACCATGAATTTTCAAATTTAAAAATGCGAAAGATTGGTTTTTTACCGTTGCTTTTATTTGACCGATCCGCTTGATATCCCGATGATAGCTGGTTAAATTAGATGCAATTTTTTCGTTTTCTTTAAAAATTAAGTACCTAATAATATCATTATAAATTTCATCGATATTATTTTGATCATTTAGATTGTCCATGATGAAAAAGATTTGCCTCGGATATGTTGCTGCGAATGTCCTGGCTTTTTTGCTAAAAGCTGGAGCTGCAAAGATCCCCAGTGTATTCTCACTGTGACCAGCTAAAATTTCCGTGAAGTTTCTTACGTCGCTTGGAGTTATCTTTTCAAATTTACATTGCACTAGAAATCTTATATTTTTTACTAAACCTAAAAGGTTTATCTCGCATTCACCTAAATATAAAAAATTATTAGCATGATTATAACGCGACAGCATAACCTCAACCAATAACATGTTAAAAAATTATTCAAACTTACAGACTTACCTATAAAAATATATGGAACATTTCTCCCAAAAAAGATCCATTCTCACACCTTTCCTCCGGAAAGAATCAACAATATGCAGTCCGTAGACTGCATCTTGATCTTGATCTTTGTTGCGACCATTATTTTCGTTTTTACTTTCTTGCTCATACGGATGGTAGCGGTCATATTTAAAAGAAGACATGTGTTGGAAAAAATTTCGTGTAAACATCTTTATATCTGATATCCGTAACGTATGTTCGTACGTACGTACGTAACTCTTATCAGTTATATAGCTGATAGGACATTTAATGTAGATCGTACATCGTACGCATATCGATATCTATTTAGCCAGTGTGAAAATAAAAATATCCGCAGAATGCTTGTTACATAATATATGATATAATAGTAACCTAAATCTCTCAGAATCACGCCCTTGTCAAAAAAAATTAATTTAATTGTAACTGCATTGTCACTATGCAGTTACTGCGCCTTAAGAAATTTACCCACAATGCAGTTACGTAGTAAATCTCACCGTTCTATAATTTCTTTGAATCTTTGGTTATGGATTCTCCAAGATTTCTGTTTGCATTGAATTAAATGACAGTATTACAGTGTTCGTAGTCTTCAAGATATTTCTGTTTTGTCATTTTGTAAGGTGTTGATAAACGGGAAAATGTTCAGTGAACATTTCACACATATACAGATTTGGGTAGTAACCATATGCAAATAACACGATTTGACTACGTACGTATAACAGATAATGATCTTGTACAAATATAGAAAGAGCATGGTTCGAGAACAGTACCACTTTAACGTCAACGTCAATGTTCCGATAGTATTTACCAGTGTTGGACAATGATGATTCTGTGATTCATATGATTCTGTATCATATGAAATATGTTATAGTTATTGTATGGGTTGTAAAAAATAACTAAATTTGCACGGGTTTACATGGCCGAAGGCCATGCCGTGCAAATTTAGTTATTTTATAACCCATATAATAACTATTTTATTGCACGGTGTCTGAGTACAATCCCGTGCCAATAAGTAAATGTAAAAAGCACGTGTTGTTACATAAGACCCGTGCAATAAAGCAGATTATGGTTATGTTCGATAGTATTTACAGCCGATTATGATTATGTTCTAATCGTTTCGATAGTATTTACAGGTTTTCACTTCGATAAAATATCGATTGTGCTATTTTTAAATTTGACATGTATGTATGTTATTAATATAAAGCATTCACCCATGTAAAGTACCCTTATCGGGCTTTAAAATGCCCAAATTTGTAAAAGACCACTTTTGAGACGTGCAATTGCCCTTTACACCATTACGTATCGTTATCTATATCTGATCCAATACGTAATTCCGAATTAGTAAGTTTAGCGGGTTTTTTTTTTTATCAAATACTTCTACTCGTAAAAAAAATAACACTTTATTTCATTAGAAATCGAATACTGAAATTTCGTCGTTCATGAGCAAGTTAACACGGAACGAAGAAAAGATTCAAAGTTAAAAGTTATAATTATGTCTTAATTAAGTTTACTTTAAAAGAAAGGAAGCCCCCCATATTTGTGCTGAATAGATCTTTGTGTTAATTTTTTTTTTTAGTTTTTCATTAAGTAGTAAAACGTCAAGTCTTTCTCGGCAAAAAAAAAAAAACGGTTAAAAAAACATGTATGCTTTCAAGACTGCTTTTCAAGACTGATCTCAAGATAGACAATCCCATTCTTGCTTAACATGTATGGGTCAAAGTTACGCTGTCACTAGGTCGACGTTAACAGCGTTTATCGATGTGGGAAGCCCCCATATTTGTGATGAATAGATCTTTGTGTTAATCTTTTTTTTTTTTTAATACCGGTATTTAGTTTTTCAGTAAGTGTCAAAAACGTCAAGTCTTTCTCGACAGATCTCAAGATAGACAATCCATATATTAATTCAGGTGGGTGTGGGCAACCCCCATTCTTGCTTAGCATGTATGGGTCGAAGTTACGCTGTCACTAGGTCGACGTTAGTTTAGAGCTTGGAACCGGTTTTATTTTTCATATGTTAAACTCGGTTTTAATCGGGTTTAACGTATGAAAAATAAAATCGGTTCCAAACTTTAAATTGTTTACCGAAGATGTGGGAAGCCCCCATATTTGTGATGAATAGATCTTTGTGTTAATCTTTTTTTTTTTTT